TGGTTCACAAAATTATCCGAATTGGCACTTAAATTCCCAAGGCCAAAACCAACAATCTCCTGGTGGTTGGGGAGGCGGTGGACCATCACCGCCTCCTCCTCCACCGCGGATGCCTACAAGCAGAGAAGATTCTGCTTTGTACTCGGGGCCATCACGCCCGGTTTTACCTCCTCCTTCGCCTGCGCTTGCCCTTGGATTCAACAAGGGCACTTTTACTTACCAAGAGCTTGCGGCTGCAACGGGAGGGTTTGTTGATACTAACCTTTTGGGACAGGGAGGATTCGGGTATGTCCATAAAGGCGTGTTGCCTAACGGAAAAGAAGTCGCGGTTAAGAGTTTGAAATCGGGTAGTGGACAAGGAGAAAGAGAGTTTCAAGCTGAGGTTGATATCATTAGCCGTGTGCATCATCGGTATCTTGTTTCTTTGGTTGGATATTGCATAGCTGATGGACAGAGGATGTTGGTTTATGAGTTTGTTCCAAACAATACTTTGGAATATCATCTTCATGGTTAGAAACTTAAATTTTTTATAACACAAAGCCACAAAGGATTATTATTTTCTCTAGTCAAGAAAGTTGTAACCTTTGTTGTTGTTGTCATTGCAGGGAAGAATCTTCCTGTAATGGATTTTTCCACCAGGATGCGTATCGCCTTAGGTTCTGCGAAAGGACTTGCTTACCTTCACGAAGACTGTAAGTTTCAACATTCACTATTTTCATTTTCTTGACCAATGTGGTATAAAACAGAGAAAGCTCTGCTCTCTGACAGTCTGACTAGTGATTTATTTTTGGCTGAGAAAACGACGCAGGCCATCCTCGGATCATTCACCGTGACATCAAAACTGCTAACATTCTATTGGACTTCAACTTTGATGCAATGGTATGATAAATTAGTTACTGCATCCGCTTCGGTTTTTTGTTAAGACAACATTGCTAAAGCTAATGACGTTTTGGATTTTTTCTATTTTCAGGTTGCTGATTTTGGATTGGCTAAGTTAACTACTGATAACAATACTCATGTATCTACTCGTGTGATGGGAACTTTCGGGTAAGCATTTTTTACTCGATAAGATCCTTTGCGTCACTCGAGAAACATAACCTTTGTACACTGATCATTTGTCTTTCTCTCCACATTCATTTGTAGATATTTAGCTCCGGAATATGCATCAAGCGGAAAATTAACAGAGAAGTCCGATGTATTCTCATTCGGTGTCATGTTATTGGAACTGATCACTGGAAAAAGACCGGTTGATAATAGTATCGCGATGGACGACACTTTAGTAGATTGGGTATATAGGCATATATACTTTTCACTCTTTCCTACATACAAGAAATTTTGTATGTTTTCGCCTTTTTATTCGGATACTAATGATTGCATGTTACGATGAATATAGGCTCGTCCTATCATGGCTCGCTCGCTAGAAGATGGAAACTTTAATGAGCTCGCAGATCCAAGGCTTGAAGGAAACTACAACCCGCAAGAGATGGCTCGAATGGTGACTTGTGCCGCTGCCAGCATTCGTCATTCCGGGCGTAAACGTCCAAAGATGAGCCAGGTGAATCAAAATGATATAACAAAAAAAAACGATTTTTTTTGTCGGATTAGTAACATTAAAATGTTTTTGTGTGTTTCAGATAGTGAGAGCATTAGAAGGAGAAGTGTCACTGGATGCTTTAAACGAAGGAATTAAACCGGGACATAGCAATATTTACGGGACATCGGGAACAAGCTCGGATTATAGTCAGACATCTTACAATGCAGACATGAAGAAATTCAGACAGATAGCTTTGTCAAGCCAAGAGTTCCAAAGCAGTGAGATTGAAGGATCATCTAGTAATGATTCCAGAGAGATGGGAACTAAAAGTCCTCATAAATGAAACGACCAGCGATCGATTTCATTCGGATAAAGATCAAAGAAAGAGTTTTTTCGAGGGATTTTGGGGTTCTTGAAAGTAGAACCATGCATGTAAGCTAAAAGCAATATCATTTGTTATGTTTAGATTGTTCCTTGCGTACGTATATGATTCTCTCAATCAGATTATTATTTGTTTCATCTAACTGAGATATTTTTGTTTGATTTTCGATCGTATCTCCGGTATTCATAATCAAAGTGACAAGCTTTTTTCATCACAATCTACCAAACTAAACTGAATTGAACCTAAACAAATCGAACTTACCTCTTTTTTGTAATTCGAATTATTTACAAAGTCTTTTACGTAGTTGGTACACTCCATTATTAGTCATTGAGTGTAGTTTCCCTTGTGTTTTCATGGTTTTTAGTATTGCATTCAAGCTTAGTTAGGAGTATTTGCATATGTTTTATTTTCTTAGGTATTTTTAGTGGTGAACCAACAAGAAGTGAAGTATGGAGCATGATGTGGAACAAGAAAATTAAGGATGTAGATAAAAAGCTAAAGCAATTAAGATTGTAAAGAAGAAGATCATGAAGATTTCATATTATAGAGCCTCGTCTAGCAACGATGTAGATACAAACCGTTTTGCCTCTTTGGACACTTTTAAGGATCACGACGAAGTTCGGGTTTTAGTAGATTTGATAGATTTATTGACATTATCGGATAAATATATCTTAAAAAAAAATCGGTTAAACCATCAACAAAATTTGAAGAAATGCATTGCAATTCGTAACACCTAGACGTGAAAACTGTGGTCGCGGAAATAAAGGTGGTCGTGGCTAAATCGATTACATGACCAAAACTCTCTACTGAACGAAACGGAAGATTCGATTTATTAACGAATTATTTACTATCTGTTTTGTGATCAAAACTCTTTCATGTGGTGTAATCTACTTCTAAGAACAATATGTTTGTGTGACTAAAAAAAAAAAAAAAATACCAATATGTTTTGTAAACTAAATAAAAAATTATATTGAAATTAGAGGGGAAGAGGCAGAGTATTTTACCGGTTTTGAGTTAACCTGTCCGGTTAAAAAACCCTCATTCGTCACACCGATCTTTCCTCTCCACGCTTCTTATTCCTTAACCTTTCTCTCTCACTCTCCGTCGTCTCTCCCATTTCTTCCTCAAAAACAGTCTCTATTTTTCTGAAATCAATTTATAAACCATTGAATTTTTTTTATTGTAATTCTCAATCTCTTTCGCATCTGAAGAAAGTTTTTTTTTTTTTTTGTGCTGTGTGCAATCCAAAACTATGCTACAAAGATGGAGAAGTCTCTTGTCGCTGAAAAGCTCTTCGATTTCACAATTCTCATCACCAAAAGTCGCTCCTTTTCATTCGACGGCTGTTTTGTCTGAGAAATCGAGGAAACACTTTGGTTCTGTAAGAAAAGATCCATCATCTCCGCTGCAAAAAAAGATTAGATTTTTTAATTTCATTTCTTATTAGTTTTTGATAATTGAATCGCTGTAAATTGTGTCGCAGGATAGAGCCTCACAAACTTCTGAAGGCGAACGATCTTCAAAGGTGAAAAAATTTGTCAACTTTGATAATCTGATTGATGCATTGGAATCAAGAATAGGAATTGTTTGAGGAATATCGAAAATGTTTCTTGAATTTTGTTTGCCTTTAGTCTAAAAGCTCAAGTCTCTAGGATCATATGCAACTTTTTAATTTCATATGAGAGAATGAAATGTATCTAGATTAAATATTAAGAGATATTGAAATGCAATCTGCATTGATTAAGTTTG